CCAGAAAACATTTCACACAGGTGACCCCTCGTGGTGCCACCGTGCCCCCCCTGCTCCACGGATCCACCACGACATTGTTCCATCCACCATGAATCTTTGGTGCGGACCGCCTGAAATATGCTGCCACTGAGTGGGTGCGTGCGTGTGCGTGCGTGCGTGTGCGTGCGTGCGTGGGTCTTCCTGTGCAGGTAAGTACGCCCTGCGGGACCTGGTGCAGCGTCTGCCGAACGCCCCGGGCCCTGTGCCGGCGGGAGAGGGAGTCGGGGCCCCCATTGCGTCGGACCCGAGTGTGGCGGCCGTGTGCTGCGCGCTGCACGAGGTGATCAGCAAGAATTTGGAGAACGCCAAGGCACTGTGCGACGCGGGCGGCATCGGTCGACTGGTGGGCATCACGCGTGGCAAGGCTGGCAGGTGCGAGCCGCGTGCCCGTGTCCCCACCGTCTGTATCCCCAGGTTCCCGTGCCCTCAAGCCATTACGTAGATCTCAATCCCCGAAGCTCGAGGCTGAGGTTTAAAGTTGAATGTCAGACGTTTTGTGCCATAAGACCTCCTCGTGCAGGCCGTTCGAGAACAAAGGCCTCGATGAGCTCGCTATGGGGGCCGCGGCGGTGCATGGCTGCTGTGCAGCGTGTGTGTGCGTGGCCGTGCGGGGAACAGGCACTCCCCGAAGGTGGTGCGTGCGGCAGCCCAGGTGCTCAACACGCTGTGGCAGTACCGTGAGCTCCGGGGCCTCTACAAGAAGGTGAGTGTCCTGCTTGTGCCCGCTGGACGCTTTGTTCCAAACGCAGGCGGCAGCGGTCCTATTAGCGCTGCCATGCAGAGGGTTCGCGGTGTTTGCGGCCGCTCGTAATTGCGAGTATAGTTTTTTGAGTTGGGCTGTGGGAATTACTCAATACGGTCCAACCTGGAAACTCGCATGTGGACATGGAGGTTGTTGTAAAGGCTTCTGTGTTCCCCAGGAACGGGACTCGTGGCTCAAGGCAGTCCCAGCGGCAAACGGCTCACGCTCGGTATTAATGGCGATCCTTGAGAGCAAGAAGCGTGTGTAGAAGCGGATGACTTTGCTCTGTGTGGTGCCATCAGCATTATCCTGTGAGATGATGTCCACTATGACGATGCTGTAGGCAGTTGTGGAGCTTTCCCTCGTCTGTTTGACTTATAACAACGCACTGATTATTTACCCAGTGTGAACACATGGAATAATGAATCTATGTATGTATTTCGCAACCGTACGTAGCCAACCGTGCTAATTGAAGGTGATGTTGGTTACCATGTGACAACCAATACCGCCCAAGACAAACTCCAATGCAGACAAAACTAAAGAACAGAAGGGGAATGCCATCGGATATCAAAGTTACATTGAAGCAAAACAAACCTACTAGGATTTGAAAGAGATCAGAAAATACTTTAACATTGGTAACAAAAATACATACAGCGAAATGCAGTATACTGACACGAATAGGCAGCAATAAACAGTGAAGAAGTCTGTTTTTCATTTGGGGAAAAAAGTAACATTGATGTCCATCAGTCTGTGGGTATTCTGGACCAAGTCCAGGCCTGGTTTCAACTCCTCAGCAGGTCGTTTTTTTTATACATTCTGCTGGGTTGCCTGGTGTGATAGTAAAGTCCTTCTTGAACACTATGAGACCATTCAGTACAGTGCAAAATAACTAGCCAAGGTTGCCGATGCACTTACACCGTGTGCCATCATGTGCTTTGTCTTCTTTGCTTGCTTCGTGAGTAATTGTGCTCGGCCTGAACCGTTCTCACGTACAACGCATGCCCAAGCTCAGACATGTGTGGAGGCCGGGTCGCTGCACTCTATGGCTCAGGCTGTGCACCACCCACACACATTCCCCCTGGCCTGTGCCGTCAGGACGGCTGGGTACAGGGCGACTTCACTCCTCCGACATCCACCTCGGACTGGGAAAAGCACAAGTCGTCCTGCGAGACCCTCTCCTCGTCCCCGGCCAACCGTCGGCACTCCCCTCTCAGCCAATCAGGTACCACCGTCATGTCTCACGCTAAGCTGCCCAAGCAGCAGTGGCCCGGTGCAACGGAGCCGTGACGCTTGGGCAGCGAGGGAACTCAGGATCAAGCGCCTGAGCTGCGTTTCGCTGTCCGTGTTCCCAGTGGGCAGCGTGGGGTCTCCGCGAGAGGTGTTCCGAGCCACGGATGAGCGCAGGCCGCAAGCCGAGGGCGAGAAGCGGCGCAGCGTCTCCACGTCGCGCTGCCCACCCCCGGGCCGCCCCGAGCAGCCGGCCCCGCAGGAGGAGCCACGCGGAGGTACGCGGCATCACCGCCTCGCCCGTCGCGCCCGACCCAGCCGTACCCCACCACGTCCGATGAAACGCGCGTCCCGTCTGTGCGCGTGTGTCGCCTTCAGGGCGCAGCCAGTCGGCGTCCCGCATTCAGACCGTGGGCCCCTACCGCGCATACTCCATCCCCGCACCCGAGGAGGCTCCCCGGCACACGCAGGCGAGTGTGGCGTCGCGCGGCACCGCGCGGCCAATCGTCCTCGATGGCGGAGTCCTTCTCGGGATATTCTGAGTGGGAGCGTGATTGCTTTTTTGCCACCGTTTGGGTAATTTTCTCTCTGCGCCGTCGTCCTAGTCTCTCACGAAGCACGTCTGTGGTGTTTGCCCGGCCCAGTCGGCACCGGGAGAGCCGGCGGACCGAGATCGCACGACCCCGCGCGGCCCGGGAGGCTCCCCGCAGCGCTACCACGTGACCCTGGGCGTCGCCACCGCAGCCCCCAACCCGGGCGCGGGCAGGGTGCCGCGACCCGCTACCGCCCCCGATCACGCCGCCCGGCGCGACCTCAAGGCCAACGACAATTACGTAGACTTCTACTCGGCGGCGCGGCCGCCCTACAGCGTCTCCTCGTACGAGACGAGCCAGCTGCACAACTCACCCGACTCGTGGGTGTGAGCGAGGAGGCCGCCGCGCCGCCACGAGCGCCACACCGCCGCCACCCGCCACGCAGATCCCTGGCCGAGTGGGCCATCCTGCCCTACCTCGACCCCTCCTCCCGGCGACTCTGGCGAGCGCAAACTCTCCTTCCGGAGGCCGGAGCTATATTTTGACGACGGCGACGACCATGAAAGGGGTGGCCCACGCCCGCGGCGTGGCCCCGTCGACGGCGCCACCCACGCTCCTCGGCCGCCGTGCCCTGCCACGGGCGAAATCGTGGCCGCCGGTCTCATCGCTGTCCAAGACACGGCCCAAGTTGTTGTGCACATTTATTTTCCATGCCGTGTTTATGCAAATCACGCGCTCCCCCGCATGCCCCCCCACGAGTTCACACGCGCCGCCGTCTGCATGTGCACTTTGTCAACACGGACCGCCGCCGCCGCTGCTGTTTTCGCGTTACTTGAACTGCTGAAGCCAAACACGCGCCTGTAGCCGCCACGTGGCTCCCCCATCTCTCGCCACGACGCGCCAAAGCCGCTCGCCTCATCTGCATCATGAATGGATGCACGTCGGTTCATCTGAGTCTGGAAGGGAAAGGCAGAAGCCAATGTCCATCGACCCTCCGTCACTCAAGCTGGTGCCCCCGTGTATCCGTCATAAAGGGCAGATCTGTCGGGAGTTTAATCCGTCAGATGTCCAATTGACACGGAGCTAGAAGGTGACAATGCCGACACACGTGTGGCGCACTGTTTCAACTCGAGTTTCGCTCAATACTGGCATTCGATACAGGTGGTGATGTCACATCGATAAACACGGGCACTAGCTATGATCTTTCTACCGACACTGCACCACCCTCTCCTCGCATCCCTCACCCCTCTCCCCCTGAACTTCCCTCCACCCTCCCACTCTCTCTCTGTCTCCCTGCTTCTATCTCCCCTCACTTCTCTCTCGCATGCTGTCTTGCCTCTCTGCATCCTCACTCTTTCCCCCTGCTTATATCTTCTCTCGCACCTCTCTCCATGCCTGCATGTGCTCAATTCCTGCATCTCTCTCACTCTATCTTCGCCTAACTCTCCCCCACCTCCATCCCTCCCTGCATCTCTACCCCTGCCTTTCTTCACGCATCTCTCCCCTCGTCTCTCTCCCTATGCCTCTCTGCCCCCTCCCTCAGCCTGCATCTCTATACTTGCCTCTCTCTCTCCCCCCCTACCTCTGTCGCTCCATCACCCATTCTTCCTCCCGCTGTGCACCACCCTGCCCCAATCTCCCCGCTGCTCCGCTCCCCACCGCACTCAAGAGATGCCGCCTCCGCCGGCTTCTGGAGCTGCTGTTCGCGGGGGCCTCCTCCGCCTCCTCCTCCTCCTCGCCGCCCGCCCTCGCACGGGTAGCCCTGAAGGGTTTGGTGCAGAACGCCGAGCGGGGTTTTTACACAAAGCAACTGGTTACCGTCACCACACGGGGCCGCTTCGGTGGGGAGGAACCCGGCAGACTCTGCCGCGATGCCGTGGCGTGCCGCCCCTCCCCCTCCGCCAGCCGTGGTCCTGCGCTGTCGTCTTGGTGGTTTTTGTATTCGCTTCCTCGGTGCGAGGTGTCGGGTTTGCAGGGTCCCCGCGGTTCACTCGCCCACAGCGGGTGTCCGTCTCCCCCCCCCCTCTCAGCCCCCCCCCCCCCCCACTAGGGGGGTCATGCCCCGACGTGACCCCGCGTGTGGTGCCGTCGTGCGGTTTTACGTGGAGTGAGTGTTGCCGAGATGAGCTCTTGTCCGCCCATCGTCATTTTAAATAAACACTACCGTGCCGTGCCGCCCCGCGCCGAGCTCGCGATCCGAGTCGAGTGGAAGGGGAGCAGCGACCAGGGGGGAGGGGGGGTAGCGAGGGTCAAGGGCAAGGCGGAGGAACGAGGGTCAAGGGCAAAGCGGGGAGCAGAGTGAAGCATGGGGGAGGGTAGAGAGTCCAGCGAGAGCTTGAAAAACTGGGGGGGGTTCTGGGATCCGGGGACATAAGGTGTGGGGGAGCAAAGGGAAGAGGGGGGCAGATGGCAGCGTGCCCGCCACCCGTCCAAGCGGAGACTCGAACGCAGCGGTGCGCTCAGGGGCCGGGGACGCACAGGAGTTGCGCGCTCTGGAGGCCGCGGGGACTCCGGGCGCCTTCCTCGGGCGCAGGAGTCATCCTCCCGACCTTGCTGAGCCGGATGCTCGGCAGCGGTGACTCGGGGCGGACTCTGACTCGGAGCCGCCAGGTCCGAGTGAGCATCCACCAGCCCGTGGCCCGCGCGACACGCCCACGGCCACGCGAGGCACCCCGCAAGTATGGCGGCGCGCCGGCCCGTGGCCCCGTGACTTTGGGGTCGCCGCCGCGCGTCGTCGCGGCGCTTGCAGGCGCCTCGACGGTGGCCCCTGAGTCCCGGGTGGTCTCGCCAAAACAAGGCTTGCACGCCGTGCCGACGAAGGGGCCGGACACGGCCGTGGTTGCGCGGACCATGTGGTCGAGCGCGCCGTTGTCTTGGGGCCCCCCCCGGGAAGCATGCGTCCGTCAGAGCTCGCAGGGCCCTCAGGAAGCGACCGGCGGCCCCCTGGCCGGCGGAGGAGGCGTGGTCGTCGTCGCCACCGAGGCACGGGGACCCCAGGCGGTACCCATCGCGCTGGAGCCACTCGGGCCGGCGCCTCTTCGCCAGACGCTCCAGCAGGGCCGCCGTGTCCGCGCGTCCACCCAGCAAGGCCCACTCCTGGGCCCGCAGCCCGCGGCCGCTGTCCCGCACCTCCATGTCCGCGCCTGCGGTTGCGCGCAAACGTCCCCTTGACGTGAGCCGTGCAAACGGGGCCACTCGGAGTGTGGCCTCCTCCACCTCGTGCCCGGTCGCCTCCCCACATACGACAAAACCACCGTGCGACGCGAAACACTGTTCACTTAATTGGCTACAAGGTGATTGGCAGTACAACAAGTGTGTGGAATGCATCTGTGCAGTTCCTTGAGCGTTGTATGCGCGGTGGGGTTTCAACAGGGCCTCCGCTTAACTCCCATGAGTCAAACACACAATCGTGGCAGGGCCAACCATCCCGATGCAGCACCCTCCTGAAGGAGAGTCCTGAGACTCGTTGAGGCTTCCCTGGATCGTTCTTGTTATTGTTGGCTCTTGAAACGGTGGCTGTCACCCACGGGTGTTCACACTCAACTCCTCACACCAAGCTACCGTGGTGTGAGAAGGTGTGACTGGGAGCCTTGGGCATCTCCACTGAACCACAATAATCCATCCCACAAGTGTCGAAAGAATGCATTTTCAGAGTCAATTCTAGACCCGGTGAGTGGTGAGGAGTGAGAATGGACGAATGGTGAGGTTGCGAATGAGGGGTGAGTGATGAGGAACGACATTTAAGGTGTGAGGTGTTAACGAGTGAGGCTCGAGTGGTGAATAGGGGAGCCGCGAGGGGTGAGGTGGAAGCCGTCAGTAGTCATGAGGAGCTATGGGTGAAGGTTGCGGAATGAATTGAGGTGTGAGGAGCAGGTGAGGAGTGACGGGGTGAGGAGCGACGAGGAGTGACGGCGTGAGGAGCGGCGAGGCGGTGGCCGCACCTGCGAGCACGAGTTGGCGGGCGCACTGCAGGCGGCCCTGCACCGCGGCCTGCATGAGCGCGCTGAGGCCCAGCGCGTTGGGCACCTCCAGCGCGCCCCGCGCCACCACCGCCTCCACACAGAGCAGCTGGCGCGTGATGCCCACATCGCCTGGTGAGGGTGGGGGGTGAGACCTGGTGAGTGGTGAGTGCGGTGTGAGACCTGGTGAGTGTGATGTTTGTCTTACTGGGGGGTATCTGAGTCTTGGTGAGTGTTGAGTGCTGGTGAGTGTGGATGAGACCTGGTGAGTGTAGTTGAGACTTGGTGAGTGTGGATGAGACCTGGTGAGTGTGGGGGTGAGCGTGGCGTGCCGCGAGTGTTTTGATATTGGAGCAGTGAGCGGCTGTGGTGCTGTGGATGAGGTTTGTGGTGGCATGAGGGTTATCATGAGCAATGTTGGTGGCTTGTGCTGTGGCGGTGAGACGGGTGTCGAGGTATAATGCGGTGACGTTTGGTTACAGATCACTCTATTTAAGCAACATCAACATGCGTTTCGCTGACTTGTTTCGGCTCTGGCTACGCGAGAGAGAGTGAGCGACCATCACTCGCGTGTTTGTTTTATTGTAAATCCTGGGGAGCGGAGAAGCCTTCAGCGATGAGAGACCGCGACATTGTCAATTATCACCGCTCATCTTTCAATTCACCGTGAACCCCTTACCAATGCAACCGTAACCCACTTAAACCGAGCCACACGCCGTAGCCTCAGCCCATTTGGCACCGGCGCCCGAACGAGACCGAGGCAGATTCACAGCCACGCGTCGTTCCTAGCTCACAGCGCCGCCTGGCGGACGAGCCGGGGACATACTATAGACGATGATTGCCATTCACTTCCAATGTGGGTGCTCCTGGTCAACATCATGATCCATATTCGTTTTTATTGGGCTCAGCCGCGTGGTAGTTTTAATTAAAAAACGATTGCATTTAACCCCTCCACCACCCGTAAATATTGTCACGTCTACAGATGTTATTTATACGTGCCATGATGCATTTATCAAATTCTGACCGATAAATCTCACACTCACCGGTGTCTCAAGGCCTTTCATGACTGATGATTCCTAAAAACTATGAAACCGGAATACAACGTTTCGGTAAAAACTGTTTCACCTATCCCGTTGCCATCTCGATCCTCGTCGGTGAACCGCCGGCTCAAGTGAAGTCACTAAATTATCTTTGCGTTCGTTCAGACTCGTTGCTTTCATCTCGTCATAGTCGGTAGCGGCGTGGGCTCAGGTCGGCAGTGTCGAGCGGTGGTTATCACCCTGGGGGACGCTGACTCCTGGTGGTACGTGGCAATGTCCCAGGGGGTACGTGAGATGATTTATAAATGTGTTAAATGACATCATACATGAGAGTCATTGGTGAATAATCCCGTATGAATCTGCCAATATAAAATAACTACGATAAAATGTCCATCCATACGGTAACCTATAACGATATAAAATATCTTTATAAACTCACCGATCATAAACAATGCGGTTTCCAAGACTAACCAGCGAGCCGGAACAAATTACGTCACGCATGCAGAGCGTCCGTTGATTTTTTTTTTATATTCTCTCACAGTTACTCGCTGGTTAAGATACCTCACAAAATGGACAAGTGGTTAAAATATTGATGTTCATTGTTCATACATTTATTTGTCAGAACCATGTTGGGTCAGACGAGGGAGTACTCGGGGGGGACAGTAGCTGAAAAAGGTTGGTGTAGAGTATTTGGCTTCTGTAAATTTCCACGTGATAAGCCACTTCGTTGAGCTATAATTGGTGACCAGGTCGCTTCTGATAAAGAGCTATAAAGTTCAGTGGACCTTATCTGGTAAAATAAAAAGTGTAATAGTGCTATTTGCCATCACGCTTGATGATTGTCGTCCACTCAGAATCATCGCCAACTCAAACAAAACAAACTCTGTTGACGGATACTCACTCAACTCACGTTCATAATAAGGTCAAATGCTGCATGCAAGGCCCGATCTGGTGCTCCCAATCGCGCCTTCTGCTGTCCAGAAATCACATTTCCGTGAATTGTTGTTCTTATGTTACCTGCCTCTCTGGCCCTCTTGGGAGGTGGAGTGGGGGGGGGGTCTCGCAGGAAAGTCTAACTAATTCTCATGATGCTTTTTCATGAGGGTCCTGCCAAGATTTCACAGGAGGGAAAGCAGGGCGGGAGGGGGTGAGTGCCGACGGTTGCAATGTTTCTCCATAATAGAGGTTTTTAGGTTAAATCGCATGAATATAAATGTGTTGTTAAACCTGCCACCACCGACACCGCCAATTAGTAAGGTTTGTAAATGCTGTCGGTTTACTCTCCAACACCCTGTTGTGCTGAACTAGTCACTAATTGGCATGTTTTGTTTACGTGACAAACTTTACTTCACACGATGTAACCCAAAAAACCTCTATGGACATTGGTCGCAAAAGCCTACGTGTTATGTTTCTTCAAACTAAGTAATGCATTTGCAAGGTTTAAAATGTTAACCTTGACACCAGCACACAATGGCCTATACCTCTTCGACTTACGTCACGGGATCTTTGACGTCCACTGTGAAGCATATGCCAAGTAATTAAACAGCGAACGCTCTACCACTGGGCTATGTTACCACTCCAAGATGTTATCTGCCCGTCCGCTCCCCTTGGAGGGTCTTGCACACGTGGTGGGACGTTACCTGCCTGCACCGCCAGCATGAGCGCAGTGTTGCCCTCGTTGTCAGGAACTTGCACGTCAACCAGGGGACACTGCAGAAGCACAGACACGACTCCCGCGAAGCCGCAACAGCTCGCCACGGCCAGACCCGTCTGTGTGGACCGCGGGCACACGGGCACAAAGAAAACGATGCCACCTGTATTGTGGCGTAGCTATCTTCGATTGCACAGGCAGTGCAACTTCACCGGGGCCATTTGGGAACCACTGCACTAGCCTTTGACTCCAGAGTGCTGGATCACAGGCACGGCGCTAAGCTGTGTGATTGTAGTGGCAGTGGTAGTGGTGCTCACTGCTGCTCACCCTGCCGTTGGCATCTGTCGCGTTCACGTCGCCCCACGTGGCACCCTGCCCCAGCAGCCAGCGCAGCGCCACGCAGTTGTTGCTCCCGCACGCGTTCAGGATGGCCGTCCTGCAGTCCCTGCCGCGCGATAGCGCGCACCTGAAGGGCTTCGTCTCACTCCCCTCCTCATCCGACGATGACGAATCTGATGATTGTAATGATTGTTCTGATGATGATGAGAGATTCGTGTGTCCGTCTGCCTGACTGTGTGAGGAGCAGTTGTCTGAATCTGGTCCTGTGCCAGGCTCCTTTCCATGATTTATCTCGATATTTGAGTTATGGCCACAGGGCTTCCCTCGCCCTGTTCTGACCTGAAAAGGCGCTCTCTGTGATGACATGGTGAAGACTCCAGATTGAGCCCAGGCATCTCAGTACATACCTCCAGTCAGATGCCCCGCGATTTCTTATCACATTCATCCGAGGGGAAACCTCTTCTCCCTGCCTGGGGAGTGGGGAAACGCTGGATGCTGTCAGGGAGGCTAGTGCAACTCGTAAGCAGATTTGTCCCCCGTTAATCTCTAGATAATGCGAGCTCAGCAGATCCTGACTTTATTGTCCCGCATTAGCAAGACCCGGCCCCTCACCATGAGCCGCGACCACCCTTGGCACGGGTGCAACACTTTCCACGTGTGACGCACGTGGCCATTGGGAGGTCACGTTTATGATTCTGGCGTGGAGTAAGCACAGCGGCCGGGATATATGTGCACACATGGGTGGTCCACATAGATTACTGCCCCTCCCTCCATCCATCCCATTCCATCACAATTTTCGTCATTCCATCCCTTCTCTCTCCCTTTACATTCCTCCCTACATCCCCCCAAACTTCCAAACTTCCAAACTTCCAAACTTCCATACTTCCATACTTCCATACTTCCAAACTTCCATGCCTTACTTCTGCTGTCTTCATGGGAGAAGTTTGGGGGAGGCACTGGGGGGCAACGCCCTCCCCAAACTGGACACCTTCATGAATGTATTTTGAGTAGTTTACAATTAAGATTAAAAATAAATTATATGCACCCGTGATTCCTAATGTGAGAGACAAAGCGAACCCCTGCGCTCTCCAAACTCCGCCTATGACTGTCTTCCATCCACCTCGCCTCACATCCCTTATTCTGTCTTCTATTCCTCCTGCTTCCATCCATAATTCTTCTTTCACTCTCCTTCCATTCCTCTCATCCATCCCTCCACCTCTTCACACTAATCCCAAATAAACAGGACGGGTTTACATAACATAATACACTGGGAGAATGAATGAGTATTAACTCATAAATCACGTTCGGCATTTATTGATGAAAAATAGCAAAACACTGATGATAAAGATTATATCACTTCTTGACTATCCGAGCAAGGCCGTGTCACCCTAACCTGCCACTCGAGCCCCGTCCATCACACGAGGTGTTGACAAAGAGAGAGAGAGAGAGCTCCTAGCCAGAGCATGGGGACCTGCATGGAGTGCCAAGAGCGTCTTGGGTGGACACCTGCCAGTGGCTCTACCGGGGAAACTGAGAGCGGTTCTGGAGGCGGAGGTGGTCCACGGTAGTGAATGGTCTTCGATTGGTCTTTGTGTAGGACGTGAGCACTGGAGTGGCCAGGCAGAAGCCAGGTTTCGGGGGTCAGGCGGGGGTTAGGCCAGGGAAGTCAGCCTGGTTCAGATTCCGCGGCATCACCAGTCCATCTTGCCTGTCTCTAAACAGACACACAGAAGATACGCAATATTCGTGCAGAAATGCAGCCTTATCTCATCGGTGCACGGTGCGTGCATAATGAGGCGCCACCACCTCACTCGCACATATTTCCTGCAGGGAATGTAAACACGCGGTTCGTCAGTATCTAGTGATGACAACATATTCATAGCCATGTTTTACTGTATGCGGTTGAAACGGATCTCTTGTTTTTTTAAAGTTATTACAAAGAATGCGCCCAGGAGCGGCGACGCAAGTGCACCGATACCATAGGCGAGGCAGAGCCAAGATGACTTTGTGCTCAAGTGAGCATTGAGCTATCGGTCCTCATCTCCTGTTAACAGACTTGCAGTGCCAGTCGTGAACATTCCACTCTGTATGTATGTTGAACTTCTTTTGCACCATACATAGCCGGCCATGCTAATCGGAAGTGATATGGTGGGGGGAGAGTCTGTCCGTAGATGAAAGGACTGTCCATGTATTGATCATAATGCATTAAATAACCAAACGTATTTAATCTAATATTAGCTCATACATTTTTTAAGTAATTCATTTGAAATATTAATAGACTGCATGATTTGTACAAAAATGGTACACACACTTCGGTCCCTATTGAACAATGTCGTGTATTACACACATTCCTTGTAGGAATGTCCCATATGTTCAAGCCTGAAGTCTGAATGCATTCACTAGAAGGCCCTGATTAATCAATGAGAGAGCGGGGCTCAGAGCATCAGTCACAAGCCTGTGGCCGGCAGAACCACCGGCACTGTGCAAGGCTGTGGGAAACGGTCCGCGGAACTGTTGCAGATGCTACGATTTAGAGTTTTCATTTATAAAATGATGCTATCGGTGCACTGTGGTTGACAGACATTTCTTGAGAGTTTACAGTGGTGCACGGATACAGAGAGGTTGGGAAACACAGGTTTAGAGCATTCATGTGACTTCACCATTGAATCACATGTATTCACGCTCACTCATGCCCCCTCCTCACTACTGGCCACAGTCCACTGTGTTTATAACCAGCTGCCTTGCCATAAAGGTATTCTGCTACTCGTGTATATTAACCAGCCTTTTCCCCACTACTATGCTACAGTCTCGACAATTGTTTATGTGCATGTCATGTATTCCTTAGGTGGAGTACTGTAGATTATATACACAGTGCTGTGTCGTGGTGGAAGGTCCTGTAGTTAACATAAACGTAATTTCTCTTAAATAACAGTAACAAAAAGGGAATAAATTACAGCCCCATTATCACCTCTGCTGGATGAAGCCCTGGGAGATGTTTGACTATAATTGACCACACTGATCGCTGGATTGGCAAAAGGAATGTCCAGGAACGATTCAAGTACCACTTGCCACTGATGGTTACTCGTGGCGGGGAAATCAAACTCGGGTTACCGAGTTGACAGCACAGTACTCTAACTGTGAGCCAAAACAGAATGAGGCGACAAGCCGGTGACTGTGAAGTTCCCCTCCTCGAACAGGAGCCGTGGTGTTGGCATGAGATGCGGTGGTGCCACACAGCCCGGGTGCACAGGGTACTGACGCCTGAGCCTGCAGGTAGAGCAGAACTGCATCGACGTGCGCACGCGGAATGTCCCCATCCACCTCGGCCAGGTACGAGTAGAGCTGCTCGAAGACTTTCACAGGCACACGCGCCGCTCCGCCCTCTGGGTCCGTGCTTAGCAGCTCGCACGCGTGCTGTAGGGCGCGAGCCAGCGTCTGGTTCATGCGCAAAAACGGTACGTGTCGTGCATTAACAGGAGTATGCGTGGCAGATTGACCAGCCAGCGACCGCGGCGGCCTGCGAGGCGTCTGCTCGGAGGGAACGCCAACGCGACGCTCAACTCCTCATGTATGCGGCTTGTGCCACCCCGTGGAGAGACTTACGCCTCCAAGAGAGCTGCAGGCCAGGGCGAAAAACTTGATCCATTCCACATTTGGCTCAAACGAGCCGAGGGCCAGCAGGCTGGAGAGTTGCTCGACGGGGAGGCACAGGGCCACCCACCGCTCCTCCAGAACCTCACGGGTCACCCACTCATTGCTGCCCATCTGCAAACGACACCCATCAACTCATGAAAACCTGGGTATGATGAGCCAGCTCTGGTGTGAGTGCACAGCAAGGTGACAGGTCCATGTAATTGAAGGCATGTTTCATTGCGGAATTTAAACTGTCACCATCACTTGATGTACCACACATGGCTCAGATGATTATTTTGTTTTATGCAGTTTGCTGAGCACAGGCCCAAAAAACCAGTCACAAACAGCACCATAGAAGATGTAAAAATATATATTTAACACGCTTCTGGTGTTGAGCAAAGTTATTATGATAATAGCTAGGGGAAAAGACGATGGGAGGGAATTCCAAAGTTGAGCAGTGAGAAGGAAAAAGCATGAAGAGAAGTGTTGTGACCTACAGTTATTTATGGTGACTGAACACAGTGTGGATGAGACAACACAGTCAGTCTGGTCGACCGAGTCCTTCACATAGGTGAAGGAATCAATTCGCAAAATTCATGGGAAGAGAAATCACAGTACTAGCGATAGAAGCGCGATAAGAGGCAACAGACCGCTGTGTAGAGGCTATGTGGAGCTCTGTGTGAACGTCTGTGTTGGACAATCCACCTGGGTGTGTAGGGTGCGCAGAAGGCCCGGGGTGAGGCCGGTGTCATCTCTCTGCGTAGCCACGGGCATCTCCAGACGCTCCTTCACAGGCAGTGGCTCCCCCCGCACCTTTGCATGGAAGTATCTGCACGGCAACAGGCCAGGTGGCTCTGAGGTAGAGCGAGCGGCTCTTAATCGGAAGGTTCCAGGTTCAATTCCAGATTCGGTGTTAACTTAGCCCATCATTCCTTCAGGGTATAATACAATGCGTTGAAGGGAGGCCAACAGTGGTTATTCCGTGGGTGTCCTCATCCCCTCATAGTAATATGGAATTTCTACCACTTGCTCGGGGCTTTATATAGAGGAGAGATGAGCACCTACTCAATGCTCATTTGAGCAGAAAATCACTGACTCTTGACCTGTGCAGCAGGGCACGCAGGCACATGAAATTGCGGGTGCCAAAAGTTAAGAGCGCAGGTGCAGTACGTATTCAGAAGAGATCTGTCGTCAATTATGAAAGGGGCTTGGAAGATACAATTGATTATATTTACAGAATAGGAAAATCCAGATTATATATAAAACAAAAACATGTCATGGCATTCCGTGCTCATTGAGTAATAAGTGTTATGAAGTGGTGTATGCCTAGTGATGCAGTGGTGTGTGTTCTGCTGTGTACATGGGTGGACAGAAGTAGTCCTTGAATGTATTTAGTGGGTATGGGGTAAGGTGGTGATTATCTTATTGCGATATGGACCCGTTACTCGAGTCGATTTATTGCCATGGCTAACACCAGATGCAAGTGATATATTAACTGGTGTATAGTGTAGTGGGGTGTGCTGTGGTGTTAAGAGAGGGGTGTACTGTATAGTGTGGTGGAGCATAGTGATATGTATACAGTACTATTCTTTGTGGGGAGCGGTAGTGTAGTGGTTAGTGCGCTGCACTACAAACCGGGCTGGCCAAGTTCGATTTCCACTCACGGCCAACACCAATAACAATTATCTAAACCAGTTCTGAGCCTTCCCAAGTTTGACTCGGCCTTAATGATGACTACCTGGTGCGGTGTGTAAGAATCAGCACTGGGGAGTCAAACGTGACTGGGCGTGGTGCTGGCCACCCATCTGCTCCTCTACCCCAACATTCTGTTTAAGGCTATACAGGGGATATTCTGTCTTTGTATAGTGCAGTGGTATATATGTAGATGACGAAGGTGTGTTTTGTGGTATGTAGAGATGACAGCTGCCGTACGCGGAGGCCCAGGTGAGCACGTCTCGTGGCTGCGTGCGGATGGCCGCCTTTGTGAACTGCTTGAGGATGTCAGGTAGCTCCGGGGGCACGTGGATCTGCTGCGCACAGTACATCTCCTCGGGAGGGGGCATGGTGGTCGCGTTCCTTCCTGTCTGCGTGAACACACGGATTATCACATTAATCAAATGTGCCACAGGCTCTGCATTCACTGCATGCACGACTGCAAAGCTGCGCCGCTCAGAGGTGTACAGGTTCGCAGCCTAAGGGAAGCAAGCGTGACAAGATCACATCAAGTTATGATGAAAATGTGTCCGATTACGTAGGGGCCCTCCCAACCTCGCTGCTCCAAATAACACTGGATTACTGGGACGATTATCCGTGCGCACAAGATCATCACTGGATGAACACACAGACACTGTGGAAACATGACCCTGGCAGTCCAGAGTTCACGACACTCTATCTAGTTAATTGTCGTGTACAATTTATTGTGTACGAGGCCTTTACCTATCTGTGCTGAGTGACTGTGTGTACTGTGTGTGCTGGCTGTGTGTGTACTGTGTGTACTGTGTACTGTATGCGCTGTGTGTGTG